TTCATCCTGAAGAAGTTGAAACAATAGTGGGTCCTGAGCAAGTAGCCAATGAGGATGAAACCATAGTGGCATCTAAACTTCTAAAAGTTGATGTTGATGATAAGATTATTGATGTTTAACAGCAAGAAGATGATGACGATGAAAGAACTGTTTTATATGTGCCAGAAAAGGACAATGATCAAACAGGTGATGAGGAATTTCAAATGACATTGTCTGAGGGGATGAAAAAAATCACAAAGCCAACATAAGCTAAAAAATCAAGACGACGACCCGACAGACAAAATGGTAAAATCCAAAAACAAGCTAATAATCCATTACTAATGCAGCATACTAATTATGTTATAATTGATGCTGCATACTAATATTCTGTTGTAACTAATGTTGCATACTAATATTCTGTTATAACTGATGTTGCATACTAATTTTTTTATAACTGATGTTGCATACTAACTCTGATATAACTGATACTGCATACTAATTCTGTTATAACTGATGCTGCATACTAAGTCTGGTATAACTGATGTTGTATACTAATTCTCGTATAAGTAATAATGCATGCTAAAAACTTAGTCTAGTTTGCATACTAATTTTCTGTTATAACTGATGCTACATACTAATTTTGTTATAACTGATGCTGCATACTAAGTCTGGTATAACTGATGCTACTTACTAAATCTGTCATTTAATTCTTTATTTTGAATACAATCAGGAGGAAAAGGGTGGAGAACAAATGAAAATAAAAATCACTTTAATACTGTACAAGTATTACATTGAGAATTTATGTTTATATAAAACTAATGTTGCACACTTATGATGCACATGTATTATGTTGAAAAAGTGATGCTACATCCGAATTATTAAATTCGATCTAAGAAATGATTTATCATTCATGGACGATTCTATGAACTGATGCTGCATAAACTAATATATATGATAAATAACCTACAAAAAGCAAAAGGAACTTCAATGAAAAACAAAAGCATGAGTTGATGTTGCACAAATGATTACTTTGAAAAATAATTTTTTATATAAAAGTGATGCTACACAAGTATTACGTTGATTATTTATTTTACTGATGCTACACAAGTATTATGTTAAAAAATAGTCTCCTATCCATACAAACATTAACTCAATTGCTAAAAATTGATTCTTCAAAAATTGGGGAACCAAAAATTACAAAATACAACAAATTGATGCTGCATACAAAACGTATAACGTGATTTTGCATAAAATCAAAAACTTATTCTGATCGAAAAATAACAAAAAATCGGATCTGATAACAAACTTCCATAATACTAAAAAAAAAAAAAAAAAAAAAAAAAAAAATCCAATACTCAAAAATTAAAAACAAAAATCAAATTAAAGCCTAACATGTCTGCTTGTTATGGTGTGAAATCTGATGACAACTACTACATCTTACACTTCTTGTCTCATTTTTAGACTTGTAACGATGAATACATGGTCTATCACCTTGTCTCCTTGTAAGATGGGGCTTAACAGGAGCATTTAGTAGATCAAAAGTAGGCTTGTTGAAGTTAGAAACAGGGACAATAGGAAACTAATAGCTTAGCTTATAAGAAAAAACTCTCATGTAGTCATCCACAAAATCCTTAATATCACGATGATCATGCAGAATAACTTGCAATGCATGAGCACAAAAGAATCCTTTATGCTTCCATTGAACACATGAACACTGATGTTGATCCAACATAATAACAAAACGGTTCCTATCCCCCCGAACCTCAAACACATCATCAGATGACCTACTAACAATCCAATGACTACCTTTTTGAACAAAACCTTTAAGATCATCTTCTTTTTTTGGACATAACAAACAAAACCACTTTTCTAAAACACACCTACTGTTAGACATCATGACCATCAACCTCCCCCTGATTGATTGAATCAAATCAAGAATAGGCATCTGACTCTCTTCAGAAATCATTGCGTTAAATGATTCTTCAGTTGCATTACTCAAAAATGTATAGTAGAATAATGTTGTTTTGGAAGATCATCTAAAAATGAATAAAAAATATCTCTGCCAACCTTTCTCATTTTCTCAATATTCCTATCAAAATCTTCGACATTGCATGCATGTGCACAGTTCTTGAAATATTCACACAACTGATCCTTCAAAAATTTATTACTTCCACATCGCCTCTCTAAATTTTCCCTCAAATGTATAATGCAGAAACCATGAGATGCAATAGGGAAGTACTTTCAAATAACATTCAAAAACCCATGATGTCGGTATTCATTCTTTGGTAATTTAATATCCGGCCCAAATATTCAACAAACCATGTTCAATTCTCTTCATTTTCTATGTCAACAAGACCATAACATACAAGAAAAATCTATGTATATATAAAAAAATTAATAATTATATCAAAAAACAAGTTCTACACATAAAACATTACTGATGTTACATATTATTAAACTGATGCTGCACTTTAATAACTGATGTTGCATATTATTAAACTGATGCAACACTTTAATAAACAAATGCTGCACATTATTAAACTGATGATGCACAATATTGATTCTACACTTTAAAAAACTTAAAAAAAAAAAAACCATACTATTATTTGCATTTTTAGAACAGCAACCAAGAAAAGTATCTGTATATCTTCCCTTAAAAAACATACTATCAAGGAATAACATTGGTCTACACCATAGGAATCATTTAACACAAGCTCCAATAGATATAAATAACCTTTCAAACCGATTATTATCATTACCAAGTTCTAGTGCACAAAACGATTCATCATTGGCATGCACAAACTCATGAAGGTACCAAGGCAAAAATCCAAATGAGAGTGCCTCATTACCATTAACCTCATTATATGCAATTTCTTTGCCACACCAAGTTGCATGGTATTTAACGTTAAGACCATAACTCTCCTTCATTTCTCTCGTAACATTCTTTGCTTTAATAGACGGATTCGAACGAACCTTGGTAGTCAACAAAGAAGACAAAACAGAAGAGTCAAACATTTTATTCTCCTTTTGAGGAATACGTCCAGTGCAAGTATGCATATTATTTAATTTTTTTAATGATAAAACAACCACTAGGCTGTTGCACAACAGCATTAACACGTCATTAACACCCCTCCGATAGTTTCTTTGAGCAAACAGCAGTAACACACTTCCAATCATTCCTAGTGAACTTGAAATTAAAAGCACCCTCAATAGAGTATTGTGTAAGTTTTCTACGAAACTCAACTGTACCATCTTCATAACTTTGACCCTTATAACAAATATAACTTTGCCATTCATTTGTTGCATAATGGTGAGGTCCATAAGAGTCATACTTACCCAAAAATTGGTTTCAATCTCCAATACTACTGGCTTCACTTAGGCAAGACAACACATTACTAGTAGAAACAATAGACATCTTCTTTTTTGCTTGAACATAAACATCAACAACTGGATTTGAAATCAAGTTATTCACCAAAAGAAGGGTCTGAATATCTCCATTGCACTCTAATAAACAATTTGGTTCACCTCCATATAAAGAGTATTTCAACAAAAAGCCTCCTGATGACAAACTTGGAAACCTCAAAGTCAATTGCCCATACAAATCCTCATAAGTAGTATGTAGATAAAGTGGCATAACTAATGCACAATTTTCATATACACATTTCAACACTTTAACAACAGACATGATCTACACCAAAAATGAAAACATAAAGTTAAAATGAGGCTGCACATAAATAATTGTATATATCTATAATAAATAAAATTGATGCTGCATAAATAATTGTATGCATTTTAAAATATAAATCTATAATAAATAAAACTGATGCTGCACAACTATCTGTAAACAGTGCAACACAAAAAATGCTTATAAGGATGCTGCACACTAATGCTGCACACTTATTTGCATAATAAAACTGATGTTGTACAAATATATTTAAATAAAATAACTAATGCTGCACAATTTTCTAATCCATAATCCCTTAAATAAATATTTATATAAATTGATGCTGTACAAGTATTATGTTGATTAAATAAAACTGATGCTGCATAATTTTCTAATCCATAGTCCTTTAAATAAATATTTATATAAACTAATGTTGCTTAAGTATTATGTTGATATAATAAAACTAAAGCTGCACAAGTATTAAGTTGAAAATTATTAAATGCTTATGGGGGGGGGGGGGTTCCCCCCAACACTCCCCCTCAAAAAAACTTATGCCAACTAACTGATTAAGATTTTATGAGTTGATACTGCACAAGTATTAGATTAAAAATTAATGATTATATAAAATTGATTCTGCACAGTTATGATGCTACGTTAAAATTTAATGTTTATATAAATTGATGCTACACACGTATTACGTTGAAAAATATTAAATGTTTATGGGGGGGGTCCCCCACCCCCCCCCCCCCACCAAAAAAAAACTTTATGCCAACTAATTCTGCATGATTCTAATCGATAGTCCTTTAATTAAATATTTATATAAACTGATGCTACATAAGTATTATGTTGATTAAATAAAATTGATGTTGCACAATTTTCTAATCCATAGTCCTTTGAATAAATATTTATATAACTTAATGCTGCATAAGTATTATGTTGATAAAATAAAACTGATGTTGCACAAGTATTAAGTTGAAAATTATTAAATGTTTATGGGGTTCCCCCCCCCCCCAAAAAAATAAAAACTTATGTCAACTGATTAAGATTTTATGAGTTGATACTGCATAAGTATTACGTTAAAAATTAATGATTATATAAAACTGATGCCTGCATAGTGATGTTGCACATGTATTACGTTAAAATTTAATGTTTATATAAACTAAGGCTGCACAGTGATGCTACACACGTATTAGATTGAAAAATACTATATGTTTATTGGGGGGGGTCGTCCCCCCAACCTCACCCCCCACCCCACCAAAAAACTTGTCCCAACTGATTCTACACGATTCTATGCATTGATGTTGCATAAACTAATATATATCATATATACTAAAACTCGTAAGGGTTCGGTACTGTGGATGACCAGTGAGTTGACGTTTTTGCCCCTCAGTTTCTCCTCGCTTCCCGCTTTGTTGCCTGCTTCGTACAGTGGAAAGACGGTTTTGCCCATTCTTTCCACGCGTCCGTCATCGTTGATATCTCGGCTTCGAGTTCGAGAGTATTCTAGCTGTGTTCTTCTACGATTGTTTGTTCTTCTTAAATATTGTGGTCTTTGCATCGAAAAATATTGGGGGAAAGTTCCTGCTTTTCGTATTTCAAGGGAACTTATTTCTGTTCTCTAATTTGATGAGGGTTTTGCATCTTTTTAAACCCAGAGTTGTGGGTGTTTTGCCCAGCCTCATAAAATTGGTCTCTATTTCTAGAGTTGCGATCGGGAGGCAAATATTTCGCAGTTTTTGCGTTCGTCTTTGTCTGGGATTCGCGAATCTTAGCCGAATCTGTTTCCTGTTTTCTTCTCCGTTTAAGCGCCGGTTGTCTTTAGATCGTTGGGAAATAAATTTTATACAACTGAGGTGTGATTCATAACTACTGTCTTTCAGTTTTTATTCTGTAATTTTGTTAGTTTGGATGAAACTGTAATAATTTTGTTTTGGGTTAGTTGTGGTCTTCACGAGCAGTGCTCCGTTTGCTGTCGTTTTGAACATCACAAGAGCCGCCTCCCTCCCCACCACTTCCAACGTCTCCTCTCCTTCTAAGGCCGACTGTGGATGTTTGTCTTTCTTCTCTCCTCTCTTTTTATTTATTTATTTATTTATAATTTTTTTTTTGGAAATTAAGATTGCCTACTTACTTCTTTTTCTTTTTTTTTTCCCTATTTGTTTGTTGTTTTTTTAGTATTTGCCACTTCTGCTGGTGCCCCTGATATGTCGTTATTATTATGTTAATGCTGCTTTGATATTTGTTTGTTGTTTTTTTAGTGCATGAGATCGATCTTTGTTTTATTATTATTTTTTTCAGCTGGTGTTTCATCTTTCTTGCTACATCAATTTGAAGAATCGGCTAAGAAAAAAAAAATTAGAATGAGTTGGAAACTGAGTAGAAAAATATTAGAGAGAGAAACAAAGAATGTGGTTTGATAATTGGTAATATGATAAATCCTTGGGGACATATATATTATATCAAGTTAGCTTAGAATTTTTTGATTAATTTTGATTAAAATTTGATCATATAAAATAAAACAATTTATACATATTGGAAATATGCATTAAAAAGTTTAAGTCTCACATTACATGGATAAGAATGACTTTTTTAGATGTTTAAATGTTTTTTATTGAAGAGTGTTTTGTGTTTCTACTGCCGATAACCAAATGTTGTAATGTATACTTTAATATATTTTCTTGCTGATAAGCAAAGAGGTTTTTCGTCAAAAATATTAGTTGCTGTTTTCGAGTTGCTCCATTTCTTTCAAAGTTTATTTCCTTAAGGGAATTAAGGTGTATGAAGCAACAAGTTATTATGGTTCTGATGCTTCTAAAATTTATGATTACAGGTTTCATTTGGCTGTTTGTTTTGCATGTTTCATTTTTGCAAAGTAAAGGACATATGCAACACCTTCCACGATTTTAGAACACTTGAAGGTGAGACCTAAGAAATAAAATAGCGGTATGAAAAGTTGTGATGGCATGTTAATTCCCTTTTTTGTGAACTGATTTTAAAGCATATTTACCCATGAAATACCTATGAAATCTAATGCCTTAAGCTTACACCTTAACAAATACCTATGAAATCTGTAGTATTATCTAATTGAATTGGTTAGTTTTGATTTGCATTTTGTTAATTTATATATTTGTAATAGTCGACTGTGTTGAAATTTTAGTGTATCACTTTCTGTTAACACTCTGCTTCTTTTTCTTATTATATTTTCTGTGTTTAAATAGCATGAACATACTAAAAACCTGTTAAATTACAAACTATCCATTACAAGTTTGTACTGCCAGTTTTCTTCTTTTACATCCAGTAGTTTTAAGACCCGCAGCAACGCGCGGGCACTATTGCTAGTGATAACTATAATGCAAAAAATAAAATGAACTTCAATGAAAACCAAAAACAGCACAACAAAAAATCGCCTTCGCCAAACACTCAATCAAATAAGCTCAAAACCAAATCAAAATCTTCAAAACTAAAAACCCTTGATTGAAAAAACAAGAACAATCCAAAAAAACTAAATGCGACCAATAAAAAAACTGAAAAATCAGAGACTTTTTCAAAATCTAAACCAAAATAAATTCAAAAACACACAAACACTTCAAAAATCTAAATCAGAACACATAAAATTCAGAGAGATAAACGTGAGATAAACACTTACTTTCGAAGAAAGTTTGAATGATTTGAATATAAATTATGGCGAGAGATAATTGAGGGAGATGACGAAATATAAATCGGAACAGATAAACTTCAGAGAGAAAAAAAAAACAGCAGAGAAAACGAAAATATAATTCGTATGATTTGAATCACCACTGATCGCTATTTAACAGAATACGGGAACTTCGCTTCTAACGGAAAAATTGGACATGACATCATCTTACGCGGAATTTAAAAATGTCATTTCTTGGAATGTTTAAAACGTGTTGTCTCAATATATAATTAAGTATTGAAAGTATACTCTAAGTGTAATTTTTTCATATTTTTTTTATATAAGAAACAATAAAAATTTTATCTTGATAATCGAATATGCAAATGGTTTCGAATTGAATTGAATTTTTGCAAGAATGATCTATGAATCGAGACTTACAAAATAAACGGTTCGGATCATTGAAGTTCGATGTGGAGTGGGTCTCACACCTAATCCCCTTTTTTCGAAAAAAAAATAGGAATCCCTTTGCATAAAGGTACAAAACCGCAGAAGAGAAAGGACTTTTAAGTTTTAAGTGATCCAGGTGAAATTTCTCCTTGCACGAAGTCTTTTTATCAAAAGAAGACACATATTTCACTAAAGAATTATATTGAATCACAAGGAGTCAAATTTTAAAAAGAAACTACCCACAAGAGAAAATCTCTATATTCTGAGTAAGCAAACAAAAGAAACTTACGTGCAGAAGTTATTAAATCCTGATGGATTATTGTCTAGAACCATATGACCTTCGGTCTTATGGTAGCAAAATGGTCCGTACCAAAGTTGGGAATAGGCATTATTTTGTAGGAGAGGTGCTGTGGCATTGGGAGCAATAACTCCGAGCTTGATAAAATGAAATTTATTGCAAAACAAACACATTGGGATTTATTCATATATAATCTTCTAATGGAGAATTAACCAGTAGTTTAGTAGAAATAATTCCCATATTGTATGAAGAAAATAGCTATGGGATTTCGCCTCAAACAAGAAATTCGCATGTAGCGGTAGGGGTATAGTTTTTTATTTTTATTTTTTGCCAAGGGGGAGTATAGTTCATTGGATATATCATGTCACGTAGCTGTGCTTCACAACGTGGGTGAACTTTTACAAATGTCTCTGGCTGTTCAAAAACGAAACAGAATAAGAGCAACAAAAGCAAACAACTTGGCACCGAATGCACCTAAAAATATGCTAACTAATACCGAATGCTCTATCAGTAGTTTCCACTTCCCAGTACTCCTATATCATGTCAATCAACCACGCGAAATGCATGTGCAAGCGGTCAGATATGGCTAAAGCGGATTTCAAGGGAACAAAATTTGTGCTTCAAACAATTTTGCCAGTATAATTAGACAAAGTGGTGAACCTTCCCATGCTGAAAACCCAAAAACCAAAACAAATTAAGCAGCACACTCACCTTGTAGCGTAAACCAACAGAAATCTCCCATTCCAGCAAAGACTTGTAAATTGGTATGTGCGATAGCAAGCAAGGTTTCTGCCAAAACCCAGAAGACAAAACTTGAATAAAGGTTAGGGTTAGGGTTAGAGTTAGAAATTAATGGGAGGGAGAGGGATAGGAAGACTCCACTCCTTGGTATTGGTCGCGGTGGGCCAGTGGAAGCGGATATCGGTGTCGACCACATGACCAGCCTTCTGGGACAGCGACTCGCGTGACATTGCCTTGATTTTGTATTCCAGAGGTTTCACCCTCGGCTCCAACTCTATCTCCATCTTCTCTCTCTCTCTTTCCTGTCTTTTGAGCTTTGGAGTGAAGAGGGGCTGCTGAGACTGACTGACGGAGCTTAAGAATGAGAAAAAAAAAGACGAGTACTGTATTTCAGTACAATTATGTGGTTGCGGAAGCGCCGGAGGCTGTGGATGGCCGTCGTCGCTGAGGAGGACAAATGGGTTATGCATGCGGTAACTGAGGTGGTGTTTGCTCCTTTTGTCCCTTGATTTCTCCTTTATTGTTTTTTTTAATAAATTTTGAAAATCTAATTTTCAACTCCAAACCTTCTAGGAAATGTATTATAACTCTACTCTCTGGAACAACTCTCTCTCTCAAAAGCCAAAAATCGAAGGGTATTGTAGGCATAATTTACTAAACAATTAAAGAGGCCAAAGAGAGAGTGGGGTGCGGCATAGATAGAGAGAAAGAGAGAGATGTGTAATTGAGATGTGTGTTATTTCACCCCATTATGCCTTTATTTATAGTAGTCAGGAAGGTTATTTCCTTACCCTTTAGGATTACAACATTTAATAGGTAATCTACTCCTAATAGGAATATAAGATACATTCTCATATCTACTAGGATTTACACAATCACATTCCTATTCTAAATATGACTGCAACAAAGGGAAATTTTATTCAGACTCATTTATCCTTTTTTTACATCCAACTTATCTTTTTTGTCTTGAAATTCTAAAAGTGCCCAACAATTCTCTATTTACACCCATAATGAAAAAGAACAAAAAATGAAAAATAAAATTACAACTCTAAGAAATTCCAGCCACCCCATCTCTCCAAACCCCAACCACCCCCAATTTCTACCCGTCCTAACCCCACACCACCACCTCTCCTACCACCCACAATGAAAACTCCAAAGATCTCAGCCATCACTCACTCTAACTTGTCGTTCAAGGACTGGACAGTTAGATTACTTAGGAACTTTATCACTCACTCTAATTTGTCGCAAATGAAGAACTTTGAGGGACTTGAAACTAGGAGTGTGTCTACATGAGTGTAGACTTCGATTGTCAAAACTTATCAAGTTCTCCCATGCATAATGCAAGAACTGCTCCAACGTATACCCTTTATTTGCACTGATATTAATACATAATAGCTTACGGGCAAATGCATATTGTTGGAAGCAAAACCGTCAGCGAAAAACTCCAACTCAAGAGTTTGAACTCTCTTTTCTAATGCAAACTAAATCCAGCTATCAATGGAACTTGCATTGCAAAAACCTAGAAAGAAGCAAGCCTTGAGTCATTCTCCATTCGGGTCTTTATGTTGCGCCAACACGTGATTCACCCATTTGGCTTATCTAAAGCTTAGCTAGGATCGAAGTTGAGAGTTATGGTAAATGACCAGAGATACCACCATCACCTAGAAAGAATACTTGTAGCTTCTGCATGCTTGAGCGGCAAGAGAACCAATATACTAACAAGAAAGATTGGAAGGGGGTAGTGATGGTTAGATATTTTGGGTTTTCATTGTGGATGGTAGGGGATGTGGTAGTGGGGGGTTGGGGAAGGGTAGAAATTGAGAGTGGTTAGGATTTGGAGAGATAGGGTGGCCGGAATTTTCTAGTACTTAAATTATTTTTAATTTTTGTTCTTTTGCATTTTGGCTGTAAAAAGAAAATTATTGGACATATTCGGAATTTCAAAATAAAAAATAATAAGTTGGGTGTAGAAAGAAGATAAATGGGTCTAAATAAAATTTCTCAAAACCAACCTCCCACTGCCGCCGGCCCTAGCCTTTGGCAGCCCCCTTTTTTCTCTTTTTTTTTCTTCTTTTCTTCCCTGTTTCTTTTGCTATGTTTCCCTCTGGGCTTTGTCTCAGATCTCTAAGCTTTTATCTCAGTTTTACCCTCTCTAATCACTTGCCCCTTTTCCCCTCCCCATCCCACCTTTCTTTCCTTCCTCTTCTTTCCTCCCCATCTTTTCTAACCCATAATTAGGAGTTAGATCTCAGAGTTTTAAACTCTATCTTGACTCAAGACCCTTCATCCACTGCCATTGCTGAATTGGCTTGCCAGAAAAATTGGATGAATTTTGGAACGATTCACGTCGAAACAGAGGTGTCCTGCTCAGCCCTTTTGCCCCTCCCCCTCCTCCTGTTATGTTTGGTGACTTTTTATGCAGGAGTGGTTGTGGATAAAAAGTCACCAAACCTGCATAAAAAGTCAACAAATGTAATGGGAGTGTGCTTCTTGGTGGATTGATGGATCTCAACACTCTCAAAGCTAGCTTTTGGTTTAGCTACTTTTTTCTGTTTGGGGTGTGGTTTCCCTTCATGGAGGGTGCAACAGCGGCAATGGAGGAGTGTGTTTGCTACTCTTGTTTAGAGCTTATTTTCATTTGTTGTTTACTATTGCCTATGGGCCTAAATGTACATGGGCATCCTGCCTTGTCTTGTCATATCTTGACTTGGGATGTTGCTCTTTATTTACTTGGGTATGTCCACTTTCTTTTATTTTGCTTTGTTTGTGTTGGGTTTTGTGTTTGGTTTGGACTTGGGTCCATCTATCACAATTTGTAATTCTTCCTTTCATTAATGAAGTCTC